TTTAAAAAATTAGTTAAGTGTCAGTTCTAGTGTTAGTTCTATATACATGTTAGTTCGTTTGCGTAATTTAGAATGAATAAAACTAATTTAAAAATTTTCTTATGTGTTTTTAGTTATATAAAGTGTATTTTCAAAGAATATGACCCCCATATTATTACATGAAACTAGGTTCAAAACAGAGATGGGCATTTGTCATTCAGAATAATGAATAAAGAATTATGAATAATTATTCAAAATCTTCCTGAATAAAGAATAAAGATGTATTCATTAGTCAGAAATATTTTGAATAAACAATAAATCTGTCATTATTTGCAATCATTATTCTTTATTCATTAGTCAAGAATAACTGAATAATTTCACTGCTCAACGGCACGGAATACTCTACTTGACTACGATTGGGACAACTACAACTAAAACGTATTGAACTACTTGTAATTATTTTTATAAGTTACAAGTAACGATTTCAGATAAAAATGATTATGTTTACCAGTAATCACAACAAGACGCAAAAACTGGTATGTGATTACAAATGACCGAAATCTTTTATTTTAAGTTATCAATGTAATCGATATGTACGATTATAAGCAGTCATTTTTACCAGCAATCATAATCTAACGAATACTAGCAAAAATAGTTGCTGCGCGAATTCATAAATATGTTGTACATGCATGAGCACTTAATTTCTCGGTATGTTTATGCGTATATATACACGAACGAGCACTGTATATAAATACTTGCATGAATAAGTAAAAAATAAGTTGAATGCTTACATACATTGCATATACGTACATAGTATATCAGTACTTACGTACATTGTATGCTCAAGTGCAAGTAAATAGGACACAAAAATGTATGTTAGTATGCATGTATGCACGCAAAGTACGTACGTATGCATGCACATACAGTGTACGTATGTACATAATGTACGTATACACATAAAATGCATATGTGTGTATGCGAAAATATACCTACGTACGTACAAATGCGTACGTATATGTGTACATGCAAAATGCATACAAATGTATATATACAATACGTATGTTCATACAATGTACTTATACGTATGCACTTACGTAATAGTGCCGGCATTTTTCTTAATTTTTAATAGGGAGACATTACTTATGATTTTTAATAGGGAGACATTACTTATATTATTATTTTTTTTAAATATTTGAAACTTGTTTCAGTATGCAAGCGTGACGGGAGGAGTTCAAATATTATGAAATACCTGAATAATGGAAATTTCAAGCAAGTGTTCTTTTGCGCAACGCTAGTAAGCAAATAAAAGATTTAAATTTGTAATTTTCTTTCGAAAGTAGAAAAACAGAAATGTTTCCTTTCAGGAGAAAAGTTATTGTTCAATGAATTTAAATGTAAGTTGATACGCAATATAAAATGGTATATATTTTCTTTTTTTTTAATTCCCTTTCAGAAGATGTACTTCTGTCATTAATAGATTAATATTTTGTAATTTAAATGGCTTACGTTATTTTGTATGATCTCATACAACTTTATGAAAAATTCATTACAAATTTTGCAGAAAGTCTTATGAAATTATTTTCCATAAAAGAAGGTTGCATTAATGTCAGTCAATGACCAAGTTTTTGAACATTTTTTTTTAAACTACCTTAAAAAAGTATTTTGGAAATTCAATCATACCAGTGGATTCTGAAAAACAAACAATAAGAATATTTTAAGTTGTATATTTAGTGTAGTATGTTACACAACATTTATCATTTTTCTTTGTGAATGGTTTATATAGTTATCTATGGAATTGACGAGCTTATTCTTAGAACTGGTTATTTCAGTTATAATTGGCGCCAGGAATGGCTACAATTCTAAAATTCTAAACAGACAAAATAATTCTAACAGTCACCTATGGAATTGACATGCTAATTCCTAGAACAGGTAATTTTAGTTATAATTGGCTCCAGAAATGGTTACAATTCTAAAATTGCTAAAATTCTAAACAGATGACATAATTTTAATAGTGACCTACGGAATTGACCAGCTAATTCTTAGAACAAATTATTTCAGTTATAATTGGTGTCAGAAATGGCTACAATTCCAAAACTGCTACAATCCTAAACAGACAACATAATTATAACAATCACCTATGGAATTGACCAGCTATTTCTTAGAACATGTAATTTCAGTTATAATTAGCGCCAGAAATGGCTACAATTCTAATATTCTGAAATAACAACATAATTCTAACAGTCATCTATGGAATTGACCAGCTAATACTTAGAACATGTTATTTCAGTTATAATTGGTGCCAGAAATAGTTGCAATTCTAAACAGACAACATAATTCTAACAGTCAGGTATGGAATTGATCTGCTGATTCTTAGAACAGGTAATTTTAGTTATAATTGGTGCCAGAAATGGCTACAATTCTAAACAAACAACATAATTCTAACCGTCACCTATGGAATTGACTAGCTAATTCTTAGAACATGTTATTTCAGTTATAATTGGCGCCAGAAGTGGCTAAAACTAAATTTCTAAGTCCATTGAAATATATCTGCCCATCGTCATGGCCACAGTCTACGTGCTTATACATAAAATTTCAATTAATGTAATTTAATGTGATCCCACAATTTCAGCGAATATCATTAAGGTAGACGTTTTTGTCTCACTACAGCTAAGAATTAAGATAATATCTGACGCAAAATAAGAAATTCTAATTCATATTTTCTATTAAATAATTAAATATACAGTTATGTTAATATCCTTTCTTATCATTATCATTTCTTAAATAAATAGGAATTTTGCTATGGTGAAAAATTATTTTTATATGTAATTTATGAAATTTAATTCCCGTTTCTCTAACGTAAAACTAAATATATGCATATGCACGATTTCAATACTCTTATAACATATATTAACGCTATTAGAATTAAGTTAATAAAATCTACTAGAATATATTTCTTTCTTTCTTTCTTATTAATTTAATTTTTTTTAAAGAATGAATTAAAAGTTCTGCTGGGATCACATTTTTTTAAAAAGGCTACAGCTTTGAGGAAGATAATTAATTCCCTGCATTAAATTCAAGCTAAAATAAAAAAATAAATTACTTAAACTTTTCTACATTTTAAAATCTAAAACTATTCAATATGTAAAATTTATTCTACGTTTTTTTCATCTAACATGAAAATAATTAGAATAATACCTTAATACTAAGATTAACATGGCTTAAAAAAGGAAAGAACAAAATTATTTTTTATTTATAGCGCATCATTTTACTAAGTAATATCAGGCACACATAACTCATTCTAACCCCTATTTTTACAGAACTGAAAAATCCTTAATATTCAGAACTATCAACTGTAAACATTGTCTCAATGAGCACTATATAAATTATTATATATTATTATTATTAGAAAATATTATAAAAATACGTTGTTTTAAGCTACTTTTTTATTAAGCTGCATTAGGGGCACAATTTATTATACTTAACTTTGTTCTAACATAGTCATTTACCATCTAAAACTGTTGGATTTAATTATAAAAATTCAAACAAAAGTAAAAACGTAATGACTTTCACAGTATAGCATTTGTAAAGGAGCGGCAGATGGGCACGAGTGACGTCAGAGTGAATAATCACGTGACTCCCTGTTTCAGATAAAAACGAAAGTAAGCGTTTTTTTGCTCAAAAATAACTCAATAATTAGCACTCTTAGAAAAGTATTAAATATTTTCTGGTGGTTTTGAGGGATTCTGAATGAATTAAGATTTTTAAAAAAAATTGACTGTAATTGTCCATATTGAACTAAAATTCTAAGATTGCTAAAATATTCTAAACTAAAATTTTAAACTTGCTAAAATTCTAAAACAGACAACAGAATTCTAACAGTTACCTATGCAATTGACCAGCTAATTCTTTGAACAGGCTATTTCAGTTATAATTGGAGCCAGAAATGGCTAAAATTCTAAAATTTTAAACTAAAATTCTAAAACAGACAACAGAATTTTACCAGTTACCCATGGAATTGACCAGCTAATTCTTAGAACAGGTTATCTCAGTTGTAATTGGCACCAGAAATGGCTAAAATTCTAAAAAGAATTTATTAGAAAAATTTTATTGAGTTGGTAACAAAGTTTATTTATTTATTATTTTGCTTATTTTCTTCCACATGTCATCAATTGTTTTCGGATGCTTTTCATCAAATGTGCTTTGGTTCCAGTTAATTTTCAGACCCTTAAAATGGAAAATCAAGTTGAGAAATATGAGCATGTTTCGACAGCTCTTTCTTTTTGCTTTTAATCAAGTTGCTAAGGTTACGAAAGCTACTCGTCACATTTGTGATGTGTATGGTGGGGTTGCATTAGCTGAAAGAATCATTGGCGATTAGTATGCCAAATTTAAAATTGGAGATTTTGAACTCAAATACTCGGTTGCAAACGATTAAACCGTTAAACAATGAAAGAACGAGTAGAGAAAAGCCCAGAGAATTGCCCAGAGCATTTTAAAAGTTTAAAAAATTAACAGCCGGACACTAGTTTACGATTTCAATGATTTGTGAAAAAGATTATACTTGTTACGCCATCACTCACACGTATAGCTTAACTAGTAAATAACGTTAAACACTCTCAAGTATTTGCACGAAATTTGATCTTCACAATAGTTCAGAAAAGTAATAAACAAAAGTCAGGACAGAACGAAAATAAATAAACATAACCAAAGGAGGTAATTTATTGCCACATAAAAGTCGTGCGACACTTTGTACGTCACAGGACTGGTCAAAATGAGGCGCCAGCCACAATGCCTTCCATATTTTATGTGGCATACAAGTGCCAAGCTTACAAACAATCCCCACCTTACGTAATAATGTATCTCATTTGCGCATTCTCAATGAGTTTGGAATAAATGAATGTGTCTCACAGTTTGGGGAGTCACGAAATATTTGTATCAAATATGAGAGGATTCTCCGTACCGGACGATCATTAAATTTTCTTGTGTGTCGCAATAAGAACAATTCGCAATTATTCTTTTGACTACGCTGAGGTGTTGACAAGTTAATTTATTGCCGAGTTGGCGTTTCATCGTTTTTTTCTACACATCTTCAATATATAAATTAAGGTATTGGCGATGCCGTTTTCACAGTTGAATCTTGTTCCTTCCCCCAAAGACTAAAAGCTCTCAACTGAAAAGGTAAAAAAAATTTATATATAGATTATTTCTACACTATTATTGATAATATAACCGCCATAGAACAGCCGACCCAATTTTTGGGTTTACGACTATTAATGTTCAACTCCGTAGCCTTGTCATTTTGAACCCAATCCGGAAGACAAAGGAACTCCTGGATCAAGTATTATACACTCACAATCAATATCAGGTACACTATTATTGATATTATGACTGCCATTGAACAGTCGACCCAATTCTTGGGTTCACGACTATTAATGTTCAACTCCGTAGCCTTGTCATTTTGAACCCAATCCAGAAGACAAGGGAACTCCTGGATTAAGTATTATACACTCACAATCAATATCAAGTGCACTATTATTGATATTATTACCATTATTGAACAGCCGACCCAATTTTTGAGTTTGCGACTATTAATGTTCAACTCCGTTGCCTTGTCATTTTGAACCCAATCCGGAAGACAAAGCAACTCCTGGATCAAGTATTATACACTCGAAATCAATATCAAGTACACTGTTATTGATATTATAACCGCCAATGAAAAGCCGACCCAATTTTTGGGTTTACGATTATTAATGTTCAACTCCGTAGCCTTGTCATTTTGAACCCAATGCAGAAGACAAGGGAACTCTTGTATCAAGTATCGGCCGAAACTTTGAATTTGTGGAGGACATTTTGATGGAACTAACCCACATTTGTGTTACATGGAGAGGAAGACCACGAAAACCTCACACTGTTAGCATGGGGACTCTAACCCCTGATCTGCCAACCACTGAGGATATTTTACGTTAGCACTGTGGTCTGTACAAGGATGAGGAATTCGTATCTACCAGTCATCGCTGGGATTCGAACCTAGTTGATCCCATTGAAAGGCGAACACTCTATCTCCCGAGCCGTCTCGGCTCGACTGTTACGTCATCCATTATGTCCTCCATGTTATGGGAACATGGAGGACTTTGCGACTCGACAGATTTAACGTGCATCAGTCACCATATACTACACGGGGAGTCTTCGGCCGGCGGGGATCGAACCCACGAACTCTTTGGCCCAGTGCCCTACCGACCAAGCTATCCCGGCACCGACTATTATTGATGGAGTTTTTCGTTATTATTAGTCGTTTTTAAAGTTTCTCAATTTATTTTACTCTTCCTTTAAAACTAGCTTACGATGTGAAACTTGGCCAGAGATTATACGAGGAGAAAATTTAATAACATTAAAATAATGCTTGTTCGTGCTATATAATGTAAAAATAATGTTGTAACAAAGGCGGAAACAAAAAAGTTAACTGTTAAAAAGTTTGCTTACGTCAGAGATTAACTCCAGTAGGCGAATAAATTATATTAAATGAAAAGAAATACGTTAGTTTGTGGTTCATAATAAGTGACAAAAGCGAAACTTTTGCATAGTAGCGAAAGTTTTTCATGACAGGAAGAAAATAAGTATTTAGCTACAAGTATTATTTGAACACATCAATATAATGAAAGAGTTTAGCGGATTTGAAAACAGCACATTTTAGTGGATAAAGGTATTAACGTTTTACGGAGTGGAATTAGGTTCCAAGTTTATTTAGTTGGCGAATAAACTCGGAAAGCTTTTGAAAGACGCTAACGCTATGACGCTAGCAATAATTTAAAAAATAAAAAAAAATAAAAAAAGTAATAAAAAAATTGAGCCCTAAAATACTGAACGTAATCTTAACTTATTTTCAATGTAATAATTTATGATCATAGAATAAAGGGAATTACTAAATATTAAGACGTAAACATTTCTATTGGTGGCTTGATGAATCAGAGCAGACGTCGGAATGTTAAGAGTCAAATTATTTGTGTTAGTTATAATAAATTATTATGTAGTCAAGTTATAATATTTTGTTTATTAGGAAACTATAGCATTAATATGCGATAGTTTCCTTTACTAGACACTACTGCAAATTGCCTCTATCGAAACTTTCAAAACTAACATTCATTTTTAATTCATTAAGAGTTAAAATTTAAGAATTGGGTACTTGTATTTCAAGAAGAGGAAGATCACAACAACCACACATGTAACCTATGACATCGGCACTAGCTGATCGTTTATAAGCAAAATGGCGTGTTGTTGTTGTAGTTCATTTACGCCCCACTAGAGCTGCACAATGGCGACGATCTATTGGCGACGATCCGGGAAACATCCCTGAGGATGATCCGAAGACATTCCATCACAGTTTTGATCCTCTGCAGAGGGAATGGCAACCCCACTTCGGAAGTCCGGCGACCTGCACGCGAAGTTCATCATTTTACTGTAGAACAGTTTAACGAGGACCAATGCCGCACACCCTCGGTCCTTACGTAGACTGATCCTAGTGGTGCTGTAGTTTTTCTTTTTATTTTCACCAGCAGTCATTCTTAATGTATTTACATAATAATAATTTAAAGTATTTTTATATTCTTTTTATTATTAACTTATAATTACTTGCTTGGTGGCTATTTCAATATAAATATGAATACTGAAGAAGCAAAAGTATTTTGTGATGTCTTGAAACGCGTATATAGCCAGGATTTGAAAATCAATAAGACGACAAACATCAATTGAGACAGTTTTTGCAACCCATGATTTGAAATGTTGTGGCGTTTAACGGAGTCCATCCAGAAAGAAAGTAGCATTTGACCAATGAGGTACCAGTGATCAAAATAAGGCGATCACAACTTTTTAAATTTTTTAATTATAAAATACTATGTTTTTTTCTTAGTCGTCTAAAAATTTATTAGTAATTTAGTATAGAAATCTTAATAAAACATTTTATTGAATAATTTTTTTTTTATTAAAGCTTTATTAAAAGTGTTAGTAGTCGTATAAAAGCTTGCTTGTGAGGTAATGTGATTATGATTGTGGTCATATTTAATGTGATTATATATTTTTTTGTTTATTTTTTTTCCAGATGACGGGAAAAATATTTGCTTTTGCTTGTGTTTTCCTTCTGATCGCTGTTTGCCATGGATACTCGGAATCTATGTCCTGTGTTTCAGTTCCCGGACAAAGTGCTCCTATCTGCAGGAAGAGCGTCAATCAAAATGGGAACAGTGCCAATGCTGGAGCATTTGCCTACCCTATGTATCCATATGTTTATGCCAATACACAACCAAGATACTATGAAGAAGTACCACCACCAATAATGCAATACTAAGTAAGATAGTTAATAAATATTAACCCCTTAACGATCGGTTAATTTTCAGGAAAACTGTCATAAAAGTGCTCATTTTTTTAATGCAAGTATTTGATTAGTGCTGACATCTAGTTGAAAATAAACTAACTATCTACAATTACCTTAAAAATATCCTGGTACTGCCATCTGGTGTGTAAAATGAGAAATAAAATGTTTTTCGGGCAAAAGAAATGAATTAGTTTTATTATTTTTGGCGTGTTACTGCTGGACACTCCAGCCCGGGAATATCACGGGAGCGAGAAATAGAGAGCGAAACCTCACCCCGTCATTTTCACGAGAGCGAGAAGGATTGTAGTGGGGTTTACCAAACAATTTCATCGAATTACACACACATTTGATCTAGTCATTAAAAATCTTAGGTACTAAATTGTAATTATTATTAAGGAGATTTCGCACTTTTACGTTAGATTCCATACTCTGCCGCACGTAGGATTAAAGCAATTGCGCATGCTCGAGTTTATTCAAAATGCTACGTATTCTTATTTTACGTTGGCGTGATTTAAGCTACAAAGACTAAGCTACAAGTGAGCTGTTTATAGCTGTTAAATATCGTTTTCCGTTTAAGCCTAATTTCGAACTAAAAACATGGACATGGAATGTGAATTAGAAATGAATGAATTCGAATGAAATTTAGAAATGATTTGTGTGATCTTTCGACCATTGGTTCAGTTAATAAAAAAATAATTTTATTAATTTTTCTTTAACATTATGATTGTCTAATTTCACTAGTTCCATAAGAAACTAGATATATTTTCTCTGTTTCAAAATTATAAATTATATTTATTTTGATTATACAATTTAGTTAAAAGAAGTTAAATAATCAATAGAAGTACAATAATACTTTTTTAAAAATATTTTTAATAAAAATAATAATAATAAGCGGCATATTTTATCGCTAAATTCATCAAAATTAGAAATCTACCATATTTTTCTGCTCATAGTTCCACAGTTTTACGTGGAGCAAAGAATGTTGAATCATATGTCACAGCTTTAAAGAAATAATCTTCATCCATCGTAAACGTTTGTTTTGATTTTGTAGTCAAAGTTAAAAATTATACTCTACTACGTAGGAGTTTTTAAATTACGGATTTTTTCAAAATCTTTTATTTTCACTTACGTAAGTTTTATATTTTTCACTGGCGCATGCGCATTTAATGAAAACTGACACATGCGCACTAGAAATGCGCATGCGCAATTATTTGAAATCTTACGTACGAGAGAGTACGGAAGCCTAACATATATTTACGAAATCTTCTTATTGTTAGTATTATATTATTATTTTTTATTATATTGGAATTATTATTATTAGATTTATCCATTGTTCCTATCTATTGACAAAATAGATCCTTTCTTACCCTAAACGAATCTACCCTTTATCCACTAGAGCAGATATCTTCCGGATACGGAATTCTAAATAATGAACCTTCTTTTGGCGGACTTTGTACATAAACTTTATGAAGATCTATAAAAAAATTACTTTAAAAATATTTAATTAGAGATTTTTCATCGTTTAATGATTAATAAAGTTAAATTAGGTTTTATTTCCGACAGTAAAATTTGCTGTCCTATCTAGCGAACAATATGAATATCTTATTTTTGGTGAATGTCCGAAACATTTGTTATATCCAATTTTATATTAATTTATTCGTTAATATTATTATATTTATTTAATATATTTATATTTATTCTATATTTTAATACTTACTGACGATAGATTAGAAGAAACATCAGTGTTTGGAGTATCGGGCAAATATATACCGG